CAGTTGCCGAGTAACTATGGTATACAATCATGAAATTTTACGTCCGTGACCTAAAGGTTACATGGAGCCCTGTTGGCATAGTGGCTAAGAACTCGGCTACTAGCCAAAAGTTCAACAGTTAAAATCTACAAGTTGCTCCTTGGAAACTCCATGGGGCAGTTCTGTTCTGTCCTCTAGGGTCACTATGAGTCAGGTTCAACTTGATGGCAACAGGTTATGGTTTTTTATTTAACCATGTAAGGTGGAAACCCAGTAAGCAAGCAAAGGCTGTTCTGAGTATAATGAATAGTGCTTCTGCAGTGCAGTTCGTTTGTCTTTATATATGGCCTTTCTGGGCCTGGTTTGTAGTTCTGCCAAGATGATTTCCTAGGCCACAAACTTGCAAAGGGATTGTACAGTCTACTATGCAGATAAGTGCTTAAAACCCTTGCAGAGATTACTCAATTACTATGTAAACTAGGTGACTGGTTAGTTTTGCGATCCTGCTAGGCTTATAAGGGCTAATCCCGCAGTGGTTGAGAGGGCCTTACTACCATCAAGAGGAAGAACCTAGAGCAGAGCACGTCCTTTGGACCTGGGGTCCCTGTGCTGAGAACTTTCTAGACCTAGGAGAGAGGGAGTTGTAATGCTGAAGACAGCAGTGACACAAGACAACAGTGGACGACAAGAGCAGAGGCCAAGCCTGAGCAGGGCCCAGCCTGCGGGCATAGCAAGAGGTGCTGCCTGCTTGCAGGAACAGCTGAGAAGAAGCTGAGAGCTGTCCTGGTTGCGTGCTGTCCTGATTGACAAACTGTATCCTGAGTTGTATGCTGTTACCTCCAATTGATCCTAATCCCTAGCTGTAGCCTGTTACTTCCCTAATAAACCACATAATCATGAGCATGGTCTGTGAGTTCTGTGTGGCCACTGCAATGAATTATGGAACACAGCAGAGAAGTAGAGAGTGCCATGGGGAAGACGGCCGGTGTCAGAATTGGTAAAAAAAAGTTGGAGAGGGGAGGTATGTCTGACATCCATCTCATAGGAATAAGCTTTGGACTGATAGTGATTTTCTCTCCTCCTTGTAAATGTGGACAGGTTCAGAAGCTGCTACATTACTCCTTCACATAGCCCAAAGTAGAAAGTTGAGCGAGTTGTGTAAAATTCTAACCTCAAATCTCTGTTTTTGGTGATGATGTCTTAATCATCCTGGCCTGGATATAATATTATTTGTTTTTATATTTGTAGGGTAATGGTATTGCCCTTCAGTTCTCCTTAGCCTTGTGTCCAACATTGTTTATATCTGGAGATCAGAGTAGAGCCAAAGAAAGTGAAACCAAATCTACTTGATCAGTAAGCATGCATCTCCCAGATCACTAGGTCTTGGATGAGCTTGATTTTGAATGACTTAGTGACCCCAAGACTGGGGGAGTCGTGATTTCTTTACCAAAGACCACACTTTTTAATTGAGTTTTCATGAGGCCCAAAGTTTGGGCACCTGTATCTGCATTATCGCCTTTTTCAGAAACCTTTGCCAAGATCTTTATCTTTCGTAGGCATACATCCAGCCTTCAAGCCTTCGCATCTGTAGGTGCCAGATATAACCCTCCTTCTTTATCGTGTTCTTTGCAATTTGCCAATAGCAGCCATGCCATCCTTCCGAGAAAGCAGGTGCTAGATACTGGGATTTCTGCATGAATGATACCATCACTGCCCTCTAGTTGGAACTCTGCAAATCCATAGTGAACCTGAGGTTACAATCTAAGGAGGAAAAAGTCCACAGGTAGTTATAAAGCAGATAATAAAGGGCTGTTATGAAGAAAAAACAGGAAATAGGGGAGCACCCAACCCAGACTTGGAGAGAGTATGAAGAGCAGGAAGGCTTCTTAAAGAGTTTCCCTGGTGAGATCCATGGGTAATCCTGGACACGGCTCTATCCTAGTGCCTACCACATTACATGCAAATTAGCTGTTAGTTGTCTGTTTTCCCCACTAGACTGAAAGCTGTCCCGGAAATTAAAATTCAGTCATCTTCAGATCATTGGCACATTGCATGGCACGTAGCTGATCTATATAAGTATTTGTTGAATGGAACTGTCCTCTTTTCTTTTGCTTCTTTTTTTTTTTTTAAGCAATAGCTCTATTGAGATATAATGCACATATCTCGAAATATTTAAAACCCATTTGAAGTATACAATTCAATGGGTTTTTTTAGTATATTCAAGGTTATGCAACCATCACTACTATTTCCAGAACATTTTCATCACCCCAAAAAGAAATCCTATACCCTTTAGTCACTCCCCATTCCCCTAGCCTCCCAGCCACTGACAACCACTAATCTACTTTCTGTCTCTACGGATTGGCCTGTTCTGGACATTTCATATAAATGGACTCATGCAATGTGTGGCCTTTTGTGTCCGGCTTTTTTCATTTAGCATAATGTTCTCAAGGGTCATCCATGTTGTAGCACATATCAGTACTTCATTTCTTTTTATGGTTGAATAATATTCCATTGCATGGATATAGAGCCCTGGTGGCACAGTAGGTAAGAGCTCAGGCTGCTAACCAAAAGATTGGCAGCTCAAATCCACCAGCCGCTCCTTGGAAACTCTATGGGGCAGTTCTACTCTGTCCTGTAGAGACAGAATCAACTCAATGGCAACGGGTGTTGTTGTGTTGTATGGCATGGATATAACACATTTAGTTTATTCTTTTATCAGTTGATAGACATTTGCATTGTTTATATTTTTCATTATTATGGATAATGCTTCTGTGAACATTCATGTACAAGTTTTTGTGTGGAATATGTTTTCAGTTCTCTTGCATATATACTTTAGGAGTGGAATTGTTAGGCCATGTGGCACTCTTTGTTTAACTCTTTGAGGAACTTCCTAACTGTTTTCCAAAGTGGCTCCACCATTTTACATTTCCACCTGCATTTTACATTTCCACCTTCCAATTTCTCCACATCCTTGCCAACACTTGTTATTATCAGTCTTTTTTATTATAGCCATCCTAGTAAGTGTGAAATGGTCTCTCATTGTGTTTTGATTTGCATTTCCCTAATGACTAATGATGTTGAGCATCTTTTCAGGTTCTTCCCTTCATTTTCACCTCTCTCTCATTAAGGAATACCAGGGTTGGAGAAACAGAACTCAGTCACTTATATGTACACTTCTCAAAGGAACAAACCATGTCTTATTTGTTTTTACATCCTCAGCACCTAGCATAGTGCTAGGCACATAGCAGATGCAAAATAAATGTTTATTGAATTCATGAATGGCTCAATGAATGAATGAACACAAAAACAATTCCAGTTCCTTTTTTCTTCTGCCCAAGTCCCTCCCAGGATTTTCTTTTTAAAAATGTCTGGTGAGAGTTTTGAAGCCCTTGAAGTGAACTCAACAGCTAAATCATGGTTTGCATGACATAAAAGCAAACTAAGAAAAGCAGCAATATTTAAAAAGATAATCCTGTACATTAACCAAATCTCACTTTGAAGTCATGTATCTTCTTCCCAAGAAGGAACATTTTGCTAAAGTAAAGTCTCAGCAAAGTAATTTCTAAGAAATTGTGAATAGGATTCATTTTCTTCCGTTTTCTCTATGGCTTTTTATTTTTCTGAAAACTAAGTCCTCCGTGATTTGGTTTAATCAAAGATCTTTGACAATGTCATGGTAAAACACACAGTAAGTTACCTGTCATTTCAACCTGACTGATCTTCACTGACACCAGTAAGAGTTTACTGAGTCAAAAAACTTCATAAGGATGCCGTGATCTGCAAAAAGAATGATTTTGTTGTCTCAGCCTCTCCCTTCTCCACATCCCAGTAGATCATGCCTTGTTTTGATCTTTTGGTTCTTTCTAAAGCTATGTGTATCTGTGGTAAACCGTTGACACATGTAAAGCTGAGTTTGCCCTTTTGAATCGGTTCTCTGTGTGGACACCATCTGCAAGTGAAGGGAGAAAGGCAAAGCCAGTGGGAAGTGGGCTGATTCTAGTTTTGTTTGTAAACTTTAGCTTCCTAGGTCAAGGAATTGAAACTAATAAACTAATAAGGAGAGTTATCGTGGTAGGTTTTTCTTTTTTTTTTTTTACTAACAGAACCTCTATTATTTCACATTCTCTAGTCTTGTTGGGTTATATTTCATAATATCACAAGTTTATCTAATTTTTTTAGATGCCCTTATAAATTCTACTTAAAGTTAACTATCTATTTTTATTTAAAAAAAAAAGAAAAGCATAACTTATACTGGAGGACTAGAAGTTAGGAGATCTTGTTTATAGTTTCTGCCATTAACTTCTGTAGTCCCTGGGTGATGCAAACAATTAGCATTATTGGCTGCTAATCAAAAGACTGGAAATTTGAGTCCACCCAGAGGTGCCTCAGAAGAAAGTTCTGATGATCTACTTCTGAAAAATCAACCATTGAAAACCCTGTGGAGCACAGTTCTACTCTGATACACATAGGGTCACCGTGAGTCAGAGTTGACTCGATGGCGACTGGTTTATTAATTTCTAGTGTGACCCTGAGGAAGGTAAAACCTCCGAGGGCCTGTTTCTTCACCTCAAAAGCACTTGATGGTCTCCCACAACATTTACAGCTATAAAGCTCTCTGAATTTATTGAATGGTGCCTTGATTCCAAAGTGGATCAAGTCTTCTACGAACAAGTTCTAAAATAAGGCGTGTGGAGGAGATTGTGTTATCTGGAATTCAGAGCATTCCAGGTGACTCGAATCCTGGCCTCTCTCCATGATTCACTGGCTCCCCAGCCTTCCTGTTCCCTTCCCACCTACACAGCAAGAGGGATCACACTTTTTCTAAGACGTTCTGAAATCCTGGGCCTGATGGTAACTCTAGAAGTGTTAAGATACTTCCTGTTCAGTTTCATGAAGTCTTTCAGATGACACTTCCTCTTGGCAAACTAATTTTGTCTCTGCTTAGTGACCTTAGCTCTTGTGTGTCTTTGACTTGAACATGCCATTGTTTTTTCACATTCCTCTTTTTTCCTCCTTCACAGGGTACATACCCAGTTACTTAGACAAGGACGAGCTATGTGTAGTGTGTGGTGACAAAGCTACTGGGTATCACTACCGCTGCATCACATGTGAAGGCTGCAAGGTAAATGCCGGCGGTCCAGTGAGCACGGAGTTCAGCTCAGCTCCAATCCCTCCCCAGCGCCCGGCCAGAATGCAGTATTAATCTTACATTCAAATTAGGACCCAATTCCCGCATTCATGGCCATGATCATCCAAGTGTCTGGTTGTGCTCCTCATTTTAACATGTTCAAGAACTGAACTGATTTTTTTTTTTTTTTCCCCAATTCACTGCCAGAGTACGATCAGGTCTGATTTCTTTACCTCTGCAATTTTTTTTAATCGAGGGGACAATAATAAAATGGGGAAAAATTAATAAAACTCTTACTTTGGGTTAAAAAAATGTAGCTATTTTATAACATGTTATCATCCCAGGAAATCACCATTTCTCCTCATGCTTTATCTACCATGTTTGAGGAGAAAGAGTTTGCTCTCCCACAGGCTTTTTTCTGCTGTTTAAGTGAATCTCATTTTCAAGAGTTCCATTTAGGAGTATCTTTGAGGCTACTTAGATTCAATTATGTTCTGAAATTATCCAGACTGACTTTCTGCATAGCTTTCACTCAGTAAGTAAATTCTGGTTGTCCATCAGCGAATTTCGTGTTCGGCAGACCCATCTTCAGGAGGCCCTTGAAAAGAGCACACTAGTCAGCAGCAGTCAGTTCACGTCCCAAAAGTGAACTTGAATTTCCTTAGTTGCCATCTACATCAGCAAAGTTAAGATGAGTTTTCCGGCAAATATCCTTTGGCCCAACAACCAGCCTAGAAAATAAAGTCTGTTTTACAAGTAAATAAAGCTTAAATCAGGGCTATCTCCAGCATTCCACTAATGTTTGATGAATGAGGATGTAGTTCAAGTCAGGGAAGGATTTTTTAATTTTTTTTCTTGTTACATGTTTTTTTTCACCTTTTATATGTAAAGGTAAATTGTCCCAAGATGTAAACCCTAAGTCAAAAATTGTATTAAAATGTATAAAACAATTCAGTCTTCTCTCCTCCCTGTCCCGTCTCACCTCCTCCCTTCACCTTTCTCCTCTTCCAACTAAACTCTTTCTACTTTGGGTCCCAGACCCCAAAAATTAACAAGTGAGCCTGGTTTCAAACCAAGATGTGCTCCACTTCCCTAGTGGAAGGTTTTCCATTCCCCTCCTCCAACTAAACTCTTTCTTTCTACTTTGGGTCCCAGACCCCAAAAATTAACAAGTGAGCCTGGTTTCAAACCAAGATGTGCTCCAGTTCCCTAGTGGAAGGTTTTCCATGCAAATTCGCTACTTTTTGTGCATGAAATTATAGAGCACTTCGCAGAAGCTTGCTAGAAATGTGGAGATCTTACATCCATTGGGAAGAGGTAGTTTCTAAGGTCCCAAGGCCTTATATCTGCAAGATTGTTGTTTGAAATGTGGATGCCACCTCTTCTCATTCATCCAGACCCCTTTGATCTGGAATTTATAATCCTTTAACAAAGACTGGGGTAAGCTTGCCATTATGTCCATAAAAAAAATTTTTAAGGAACTAACCCATTGAAATCCGTTGCCGTTCACTCATAGCAACCCTATAGGACAGAGTAGAACTGCCTCATAGGGTTTCCAAGGAGCAGCTGGTGGATTCAAACTGCCAACCTTTTGGTTAGCAGCCGAGCTCTTAACCACTGCACCACCAGGGCTCCTTTAAGGAGCTAAGTGGGGCTAATTATAAATAAGTGCTGGCTTTTTATTAATTGAATCAACTCAACGGCAGTGGGTTTGGTTTTGGGTTTATTAATTAATTAGGCAACTAGTAGACTGTCTCTTGAAAGCACATTTTTATTGGCTTGATTTGAAAGTAATAAAACCACATTAGATAGTCTGTCATTCCAAAGACCCATAATTCATAGCGGCCGTTTTTCTAAATTAGCCCCGATTCATAAGACTTTACCTACCTGATTAAGCAGGATTAAGATTCTTTTAAATCAGTTTCTGATGGTAAATTTCGAATTCTGGGAGACAGTGTAATGAAAATTCCATTTAATACTCAACTCCCAGAAGTGATCTAGTTTAGACTGAGTATGCCTTACAGAGGACTTACTGCGTTATTAGCGATTGAGTTAAACGAGGGGAGACTCGAGTCTATTAACCGATGATTCTGTGTCACGTATGTCTTCCTGATGATCAGGAAATCCACTAGCCTCTTCTCCCTACTAGCAAGATCATATAGGATGTTTGGGGCTGGATTCAGCTATGGCTTTCTTTAAAAGAAGGAATCATACAGCAAAAAGCTAGGTTTCTCAGCCTCTGTGCCTTTATCTCAGATCAGAATCCTTTCTAAGTAAGTGGCCTCCATTATAAAATCAGAAAGGAGCTTTTCTAGGGTGGCTGTGTGGACTCATTTAATATAATGACAAAACATCTTAGAAAAAGACAGAAGATTTCAAGAGTGTCCAAAGGTGGAAAAGATTAGGCTTTATATATTTAGATGAATTTATCTTGTAATTTACAAAATATTTCTGTCCCATACTTGTAATGTGTATCGAGAGAATCTTCTTCACTATTTTTGCCCTGAAGACGGTGAAAATCTTTTGGAGATGTTTTCTTTGTTGCAATTCGCCATTTTTGATGCATCTTTTATAGAAAGAATATTGATACTGTCCCATAACAAGCAATTTTTTTTTAATTGAAGACTCAAAGCTTTTATAAAAGCTGCCCAAATACTGAACTGAGTATGACACTTAGCTTCTTATAAAACTGATTAGTGTATTTTCTCAAACCACTAAGAAATGGATCCAGTTCTTGCCAGAATGCAGAGAAGCATGTCTGGTGTTGATTTATAAAAGCAAGGTCTCTGTTCACTAACAAATCATCAATGAAATGGAATATGTCCTTATTCATTCCCTGGGACATCTCTCTTGGCAGTTCACTTCTGAAAGGGTTTTCCTTTTTATAAGTTGACTATTTCAAATGTGTTTTGTTCAAGTTCACTTCAAGGCGTTCATTTTTGTGACTTTTTAAAATTAAGGGACCCAGCATCTTTACACACTCAAATAAGGTGCTTCCTCACATTGTGTCAAATAGGATTTTACTGTAGCTTAGGGGAAGCCAGAATCTTAAAAGCAATTTGGTCCATGAAGGAGAAAAGTCATCAAAGGTCGGCCACAGAAAACATGGTGCTATGAATAGCAGAGGTAGCCACCTCAACTCTTTGTTGGAAATAAGCAAAGTATAAATTACTTAACATAATTCATTGCATTAAAAAACACGCAGAGTAACCATTTTGGAGTAATGAATGTTGCGTCTTGGTGTGCTCTCTCCTTCATCTTGTTAGACCCTTCGGTATGCCCCCACCCCTGGAATAGAGGTCAACATTAGCATAAGAGTAAGGAAAGAGTCTCCCCTGTTTCAGATGCAGTAAACGTCTCCTATCTTTATAGCAACAGGCAACATTCTCATTGGATGTCTTGGGCTTTGGTGTTTACACTGCTAGGGAAACTTTGCCTCCTCCAGAAGGAGGTAAGCTACTCTACCCGAGTCCTCCCCATCTGTGACATACCTCTTCTTGCCAGGGATCTCTGAGTTTCTTTCACTCTCCAGGCAAAAGTAACCCTTGAAGGGTGGATTGGGCAAAGGGCAATGGAGGAAGATGAGGGTGGTTCACAGGGAAGGTTCTTTTTCACTCTTGTGGCCTGCCCTGACATTCATGCTTTGGCAGAATTTGGCCACCCTGAATAACCAAGGGAACACTGCCAGCATCTCCAACGGCTGCTCCGTGTGTGATTCAGTGAATCTCATAATAACATATCAACATCGTTCAAAGGAATAGACTCAAGTTTTTAAGTATCCAAAACCCAAATATAATATGACAGGTTTTCTGCTAGAACTTGAACAGTGGGAGCCATAAGGGATTTGCACACAAGCCCCAAATCCAGTCCATTAACCTCTGTGATTGCTGGCATTTTCCATTTTATGCTGCTTTGCCCGATATAAAATCTTACCTTTGATCTTTTCATTATAAGGAAGAGCTCTCAAGTGTATCTGAGTGAGGAGTATGCAACTGTGTGCATGTACATGATCAAGGCAAAGGAAAATTAAACAGGTTAATCAAATTGGGCTTAATCAAATCAAGATCAACTGGTATTTGAATTCCACCATTTATCTACCAAAGTTAGAGATACCCCCTTCAAGCTTTAATACAGAGCATCCTTTAAATCTTGTTTTTCATTGCTACTCTACCAAAAACAGATAAAACAAAGGTTTTTTTGAAGGGCAGGTAGGAGGAGACTATTTATAATTTGTTTATCTTAAACATTTAAATAATACAATAAAGTTTGATTACATTGACAGCATCTAAGCAGTTAAGTAAATAAGATTTGGAGTCTGACTCCCTGGACCCAGGCTGTGTTCAAGCATGTACTTTGCATGTCATTTTTGGGCAAGTGATTTAACTTCTCTGGAGCTTAGTTTTGTACTCCCTACAATAAAGATATTAAGAGTACCTATCTTATAAGGTCGTGAGGAAGATAGAAGCATATGGAATGT